AAGCCAAAAAACCCACTGCTTGTAGTTTGCAATATTGGTCATTTTGGTAGAAGCCTTAGTGACACACTGAAATGATAAAGTTGTATTCCTGGACTATTATGAAGCCTTTTATTTAACATTTTATACAGGGCTTTACATCTGCACACAGCCTTGTATCACAATGTAAATGCTGACTTACAATTTGACTCCTCTGGTAGGTAGCAGCACATACATGTGGAATTACATATATTCAAGGCAGCAGGCTCTGGTGTCCTGCATTTTATTCTTTGTGATTTCAGCACTGAATTAGGTTTTGAGATGTTATTTCCTCAAGGAATATATGTAGATAAGCACAGCACAAACTACATTTCAATCCCATCCAATATAATCAGCCAGAAGCTTTTTTCAGAGAACAGTTCAGGAGAGAATAAAGCATCACATCTGAAAAAACTCGAAAGCGTTGCTCTCAGAAATCAGCAAAGTGCCAGCAAAGGGCATGACTTTAATGGCCAAAATCCCCAAAACCACATAAGCAGGAAGAGGGATCTTGCTCACAGACAGGCACCAGGCACTGCCAGCAACTGACAGAGAACTAAAAACATCTCAAAAACCTGTCAAACAGCCCACCTGTAAAATAGAGGAGGAGAAGTCTCATCCCAACTCAGACCAGGCTTGGCAGCACAGGGGAAACCTGTGGAGCATCTCCTTAGCAGAGTGGTGCAGCTGGAAGCTGTTATCCCACTGCTCCAGGACAAACCCCTCCTGCCTTTCAAGAACTCCATGCTGGGAGCCTCCTGTTGCTCCTGCCTGTTTAGCAATGGAGAGCAGCTTCTACAGAGCCACAGTGCTTTTTAGCACCATGCAAAACGTGTTATTTCTGCTAGGAAAGCAAATTGCAACTTGTAGAATCTCACAGTTTAAATTTCTTCTCCATCATTCAATATGTTACCTTATATTTAACTAGATATTAGGAGGGTTTTAGTATAAGGATTCTTTTAGGAACAGCATCCACTATCCAAAAGTTTCAAGGTAACAGCATGTTTTCCAGGTGAATTCAGTCTTATTCATTTTCTTCTACTACAGATGACCCTAAAGTTCTCTATCACAAAATGATGTCCTTTATAATTAAGCTCTGAAACTTCAGACAATTAAATTCACATTTTTGAGCTCATTCATGTCACACATGTTCACCCTTGCAAATGCTCAAATAAAAGGGCAAATCTGTGAACTTCCACCATGCCCTTTCTAACCCCTAACATCATAATTTCAACACTAAAAATATCTTAAAATAAGGTCAATCAAGAGCATAATTTCTCTTTTTCTGAAAGAGACAGAAATCCACACATCTAGCCTCTGACTATTAATAATCACCTGAATTAAAAGAGCATGTTACCTATGAGCAATATGGTTAACCTGAGAAAAAGAAGTTATTAGCTAAAAGTCATTTCAGACCAGATATCCCTTGATTAATATGAACGGTTCCTGTCTGTACTAAAGTACAATCTCTTCTCTGCCAAACAGTGCTTGCCCTTATTTTACAATTCTGGGAGTCTGGGAATCATTAGTTATTATTCTTCTATACACAGAATAACTGTTAATGGAATGCCACAAATCAAATTAAGAGCAAAATTCTGACAGCATTTATATGAGGGGTCAGAAAGTAAATACATACATTCTGTCCTTCAGCAACACATCCAGCCCATCAGAAGTTTTTCCACACTAACCATTTAAGGACTCAAGATCCTGTATCATTCTGCATTATGAAACTTACATAGGCAAGAATTAATTACAATTGTAAGAGCCAACTCAAAATTAAGCTGGGTGTCACAAATCTAAGAAACCATAAAACCAGGAGCAAAAATAATGAAGAGCCCTTCAAGTGGTGCATTAAAATGGGTTGCACTAGCATGGGATCATATACACAGACCTATGAACCACACTCCTAGAATGCAAAATTAAAACTAGGAGGGAGTGGTGGGAAAAGGCACTACCTATGGCATTCATTCATGGCAGTGGCTCTTGCAGAACCAATAATCAGAGAGGAAGCTCTGCTGAATAGTTTATGCCTTACACTTCAAGAACAATCTGAAGCATACATTAATTTTCAGTCACAGAGGGGTTTTATTCTTATGGCATATTTTTTCCCCTCTTTTCTCTCTGCTTTCTGTATTCTAAAATATTCCTTCTAATAGATCATAAAAGAGTTTGTTCTGGAAGGTACCTGAAATATCACCTAGTTCCAACCCCTCTCCAGGTTTCTGTAGGGTTACCTTCCACTAGATCAGGTTGTCCACAACCTCATCCAACCTGTCCAACACATATAAAAATATATATACATATTTATTATCATATGTTTATTTAAATATTTTCTTAATATTTCACTTCTATATTCATAACTGTAAAAATATGTATTATATGTTCATTTATAATTTTCTATTACATTAAATATTTTTGAAGTATAAATTATAATACATATGGAGGTTTGGCATGTGTGTGTATATATACACATATATCTGATGTAGTTATTCGTGTAAGCTCAAGTTTGTGCTATTTTTTTCTTCTGAATATTTCTGAATATTTTAGTCTTGTTTTGCACATCTATACCTTGGAAATATCCAGGGCAGTGGAGAGGGAGAAACAAATAAAGATCTACCTCAGTCAAATAGGCCATCCTGAAAACTACAGACAAGGAATATTATTGTGTAGACCCTTGAGGGTGGAAGAAAAAAACAAATCTGAAGTCAGTACCATTTCTCCACATACAGAGGAATTCCTTAATTCACTTCCTGGTTTTGGGGGGTTTTTTTAATCTCCTTGAACATTAAAAAAAAAAAAAAAAAAGATGTTTATGATCTCCACAAGGCAAAATCCTGCTTTGAAAGCAAGACGTATGGGACTGCTCCTTCCATTTCTTTTAGATAGTGGAGCATATGAAACACACTAAGTAGAACATATTTATCCAGGTAATTCAGCTTTCTCCAAGATTAAAAAGAGAGGAGATCAATCATCACACATAGCACAGTAAGTCCTCTTGCCAAGACATGAGTTTTCTTACAATGCATCTTTAACAAATTTTCCCATTAAAATACAAAATATCAAGAAAAGTGGAGCTTCCATCATCATTGATTACATTATGAAAATATTTAAAATAAGGAGCTAAAGAAGGGCATAACAGATTTGATGAATTTTCACCCACACCCCACCAAAATTATTTTAGGCAACAGGCCACTGGAACAGCCACATGGCATCTTTTGGGTTTTTTAAATCTTATCAAAATCTCTAAAATCTCACCTTATGCAAGGGGCACACCAATTTCTATAGCTGGCAGTATTATGGAAACAAACTGATTAGTGGTCATATTTCTAGCAATTAGCATTTTAGAGGAGTTTCACTGGAAAATAATTTAATTTTAAAGTTCAGGAGCCAAATAAGTAAGAAGTGTCAAAGTTGGGGCACTCCAGAGCTATATTTTACCTTTCATGTGGTGCAGAATAAATAACATATAAAAACATTTACTGGTCCTCAGGGCAGCATTAATGCCAGCTGCTACCATGTAATTCTGGGGGGTCCAGTAGACCAGGCTGCTCAGAGCCCCATCCAGCCTGGCCTTGAACACTTCCAGGGATGAGCAATCCACAACTCTGGGCAACATCTCCTGGTGCCTTACTGCCCTCACAGTAAAGAATTTTATCCCAATATTTAATCTAAAACTTGTCCTCAGTTTAAAGTCCTCATCCTAGTACTATGTGCCTTTGTAGAAAGTCCCCCTCCAGCTCTTTTAGGCTCCCTTCCAGTATTGGAAGGCTGCTCCAAGTTCTCCCCAGAGCCTTCTCTCCTCCAGGCTGAAAAATTCCAATTCTTTCAGCCTCCTGACAGGAGAGGTGTTCCATTCCTGTAAAAGTCTTTTGGTCCTCCTCTGGATTCACTCCAGCAGGTATCCTTCCTGGGCTGGTATTAGAGGTCAGAGGTTTGTGCTGACAATAAATGACCTCAAGGGAAATTGCCCTGCTATGATCTCATTTACCCTGACACCACAGCCAGGATTTCATCTGGTCTCCATGTAGAGAGATCAGAAATAAAAAGGCTGTTCTTTCAACCAGCCACTGTGCAGGGCTTAAGGGAAAATAGAAGATTTTTGCACCTTAGAGTGTACAAACGTAGAGGTCTAGACTGTGCTGCCCAGAGGAACTGCCTATAGAATATCAGTTTTCTGTTATTAGATAACATGACTCTCCCAAGTGTACTGAAATTGGAACTAAGAGTCATTATGCCCCTACAAACATGCAAAAATTCCAAAAGGATCTTAACATGAAAAGAAATTTTAAAAAGTCCTTCCCCTATTGAGGCATAAAATAAAAAATAATTGACTAACCCAAAGTTAAATATAATGCAAGTAAAAATTGAAACAAAATATTTCAGAGTTTAATACTGTAAAAAAGTACATAGAGAAGATAACACTGTATTTAATCACTTCAAAGGGAAAAGAACAGAGACCTACACAAATAACTCGCTGCAAGGAAACAAGACAATATTTGCACATCTCTGTGTACAAACCATTACCTGTAATGAAAGGATTTTATCTTAATAGCCATTTCTGTTAGTCAGACAGGAAGTCTAAAAGACATCTTTATTTATATTGATGTTCCTCAAAAAGAAAAACAAATCTGACATTTTAACAGAGAGGAGCAAAGCAATATTATTAATTCAGGTCGTAGCCCACACTAGCCAAGGCTGTATTGGGCTAGCATCACAAAGCATTGCAGGGTAAACAGTGGTCATATTTTCACAATATTTGCCAGTGCTGGTTAAGTTTATCATTTTACAGAGTTAATATCAAATTACTCTTTTTTGGTCATAACTCTGAAAAACTTCAGACCAGCTTTAGACCAGGGCAGATAAACACACATTTATCTAAAAATTAGCTGTTCTTGGCCTTCTGTGACTGTGTTATCTATAGTCTTCAAATCACTTCTCTATTTGAATTACTAATAAACTTCCTGCTTCTTTCAATCAACTTCAGCATAATTTTTTCACCTTTTTACAACATACTGAGGAAAAGAAAAACAAGGACATCAGAACTACAGAAAAGTTAAAAGGAAAGTAGCTGAGAGAGATCAAAGTTATTGCCTGCCTATAAGGTAACAACAGAATGCAAGAGCAGGAGATCCAGTTGGGAAACAAGCACACAGGATGAACTAACAGACCAAAGAAAATTAAATACACATGTAGTTGAGCTACCTATTTTCAAGGATCCCAGCTCTCTTCATGCTCATTGCAAGTTCTGCTTTCAAGTCTGCCTTTTCTAGATAGAGCAAATCCAGTGGACAAACTTCCTGAAAGCTGAACAAAAGTCAAAGTATGTTGTGAAATTACCTATGCCCTAAAAAACAAGAACACAGAGCCTACAGCAAAATTTGAGCATAGTTTCTATTTCTTGCTTTTTTTTGCCTAATTAACTCCAATTAGCACTTCCAGACAGCCTGTCAGCAAACCATGCTACCTAGTCATTATAATTCTACACAAAGAACAAGTCATAAAGCAGCAACGAGCCTTTTCTGTTTGTAAGGAGAAAATACTTCATTTATAATTTTGAACCACTGCCAGAGAGGATCCAATCACCAGATATTTTCTTCTTCCTCTGCCCTTTGCAAAAAAAAAAAAAAAAAAAAAAAGTGGAGGAGCCAAAAAGTTGTAACAATATCAAAGAGAGGGAATCCTCAGCAGGGCTAGAGGCAAAACTGCTCTGTGGGATTATTCCCATATCCGCTGTTTTGGGGTGGGTGTAACATGAGCAGAGCACATTCAGAAACTCCAAGCAAACCCAAAGGCTCAGGGGGCCTTCCCAGCCTGCTCACATTGCTTTTGCACCAGAGGTTAAGTTGGGTGTGGGAGCAGAAAATACAAATCCTGCTTCGAGTCAGGGAGCTGCACTCAGCCTGTGTGCCCCAAGCTCCCCTGAGCCTCTGGCTGCAGTGCTCCACAGGGCCAAGCAAAAAAAAGCTCAGGTGGTGTTGTCTGATGGAATGGCAGTTTTTGTAAGACTCACAGGATATCCTGGATTGGAAGGGATGCCAAGGATTATCAAAGTCCAAATTTAGGCCTTCCACCAGACAATCCCCAAGATTCACGTCATATGCCAAGAGCATTGTCCAAATTTTTCATGAACTCTGGCAGCCTTGATTCTGCAAGCACTTCCCTGGGGAGCTGCTCCAGTGCCCTCTGGTGAAAAACCTTTCCCTGATATGGATCCTGAACCTCCCCTGACTACTTCAGGCCATTCCCTCAGGTCCTGTTAGAGGTCACCAGGGAGATCAGTGCCTGTCCCTCCTCTTGCCCTCATGAGGATGCTGCAGACTGTAATGAGGTTCATAGAACCACAGGCTATGATGAGCTGGAAGGGACCATCAGGATCAGCAAGTCCAGCTTTTGGCCTTGCACAGGACAGTTTTCTTTGGAGCTCTTTGAGTCTGGGTTTGTTGGAGGTTTTTTGTTGACATTGTTGCTGGTTCTGTTCTTTTAATCTTTCCTCCCTTCTCAGTTCACAGGCTGGAGCTTTAGTATGGAAAAGCCAAGGAAGAGATCACAGGCAAAATAATAAGAAGAGATATAAGGAGAGGAGTACTGCTCATGAGGAAGTGAAGTTTGGATTTTGACGAGTGTGTGAACAACCATGCCACACCTGAAAATATTGTAATTCAGCAGGGACTGTGCAGTTTCAATTAAAAAGTGACTATATTTCACAGTACTTTTAATTACTAAACCCCCAAATTTGGCAGGTATACAACTCTGTATCTTCTTTTGCACTGGTAACTCCCAGATAGGCAGCAAATTACCAAAGTCCAACAACTTCAGATCAGCTGATGTTCAGTAACCCATTACGCAAGAATCTGGCACACAAGTTCTGAGTACACAACAAATTGCTATACAGTCTGTTCCAGTATGGCTGCATTGTTTGTTCTGATGATTTTCTAAAAATGGATATTGAAAGAAAAGAAAAATTCTTTTTTAAACTGTACAAATCTCCTTGCAGATCAGGCCTAGTGTTTTGATAAATATTTCCAATTATTATCATGAGGTTGTAACAGTTTGTGATGGCACAAGTAGAGACACATACCAGAATTAGCTGGAAGGAAAAGTCCTAGAGCCAATTTTGCTATTAGCAGCCAAATTCAATGAATTTGTAATCATGAGGTTTAGGAGTGCTCAGATTCCAAATTTTATTTTTCCTCCCCACAGAAAAAATAACAGTAACTTAAAGTGCTAATATTATTATCCACAATATTAGCTTGAGCTTTGCAGTTATTTATGACTATGCCACAGAACTTTGTTTCCCTGCAAGTCAAATAAAGGTACATTAAACTCACATTTGAAAAGCAGTCTGTTCACTCATTTCCAATGCAGGTCTCTGCACTATTAACCCTCCAGACACGTGAGACTGGTAAGAACAAAGAAGTGTTAAACTTCTTCGTGAACTTCCATTTCCAGAAATTTGGCATTGACTGTTTCAGCTGCAAATGCACCAAAAGTTAGAAGCCACACTGTTGATCTACTGCCCTGAAAATTTCAGCCTTCTGACCGGTTCCTTTCTGTTGTTACCTGTGATACGTGGGCAGTAGATCAGCCCATCTCCCATTTGCAAGAGTAGCTAAGAGAACTCAAAATCCCTCCAGATTTCGCTATTTCACTCATTAAAATGTCAGCACTTTTCTAGAGATAGTTCCATGATCAAGAGTTTCCTTGGTCTCCATTTTCCATTATCAGCCTCAGAAAACTCTGCCAGTCTTCAAATACCCATCACCTCCAATACTTCTGGTGCAACCTAAGGCAATAAATTGGCCTCAGCAAGAAAACAGATGCCTTCCTAACCCCTCAGGGTGACAGAGGGTACATTCCACCTGCAACTGTGGCTTTCATCATTTTCAGTGTGCCTAAGTTTAGAGATGCTATCAACAATTCAGCTTGAACACCAGCTGGATCCAAGGTACTGCCTGTGCCAATTACACTTGCATTATACCAGTAAATAGCTGAGAGCCAGGCATATGAAATATCTTTCTAAATATTACAAATGCCCATCCACTGATGTGCCAGTGCCTGGGCATCCCACAGGAAGGACCTGCCATCTCAGCAGTCAGGCACAGTCTGCCCCAATAGCAGGAGAGGATGCACACAGAGGTTTTTCTTTAGATTCACATTATCTGGACAAGACACAGAGCAGGGGTTTCAGGGAAATAGCCCATGACCTCTCTCAGTCAGTGCCCAGGTGAAAGAACAGGATCCTGAAGCCACATATCATCTGTACTCATTACCACAACTTGAATGTCATGTAGGCAATTTGCAGCTCATGTGCATGGCCCACCTTTCCTAGCTTCTGTCAGTACAGACCTCAGTTAGAAAACTGCCCCCAAAAGCACAACCAGCATTTGCACAGCACACCCAAAATTTGAAATATCTTTATTTATTTAAAGATAGAATGCTGTGACCAGCAACATGGACATGCAGGGAAAAAAAGTGACATCCTTAAACTGTAGGAAAAAAATTTAAATTACTGCAGTGGTAAATGTAAATCAGTTCTGAGACCCAGCCACCTAATTGTCCATTAATATATCAAAAAACAGATTCTTCTTTTAATTTAATAGTCTTCTGAAAGAGAACCCAAGAAAATGTTAGGCATTACTCACGGTAGGACTACAGGACAGAGCTTTCGACTCATGACTCATCCAATAAAAGGGAAAGCAGTTCATAAGCAAATTCTGAAAAGTTTCAAAGCACAAGATGAATTTACCTTTTAAAAGAAAGCATTTCAGTAAGATGGGGTGGAAAAAGAAATCAGTTACAGGAAACCTAGGGCAGTGGTTACATCCAGGGAATGAAAATACAGAAATCATCCTGCTTTATACAACAAGGTGCATCAACGTCCTCTCACAGCTATGCAGAAACTTATTTAGCCTCTCCATATTCTGATAATGAAGTGATAATGTTCCAGATCCCTTTACTCTGTAGTACAATGACAGATAATGCCTGCAAAGGTGGTGGCTGGAGGTGCCTTTTTACAGCCCTTGAGCCTCAACTTGATTCTAAAGCATCAGCTCAAATCTAATTTCAGGAACTGAAGACTCACACATGTGAGAATGAAATGCGTAAGGCACAAAAATAGATTCTAGTAAAAATGTGAAATGGTTGAATCCTGACGGCAGGTGACTAAGCGGGGAATCCAGTAGGGAGTAAACATGGAAAAATAAGTCAGGAAATTTAACATCTTAGAGCCCCTAAAAAATTAGAAGAATAAAACTGCAAAATCAAAACTGAGATGGGCAATTCTCTTTTTGTAGCACATGTGCCACTTGCTCCCTCAAAGTCACTGTGGCCCAGAATCTGGCATCCCACAGCCACAGAATCATAGACATTGAAAAGACTTCAGCTTCAAAGGGGAAATTCTTATGGATAATACAAACAAGCAAAGTTAAAATTATTTATAATAATTTTTAAGTTAATTTTCACACCTCAAGAAAATTGCTACTTGTATTACATCCTCCTCTTAGGATGCCCTTGAAAGTTTGGCTTCTGGTTTAACTTTTGAAGGCCAACATTTTCCAGGATAACAGAAAACTGAGTGGAAGAACTAGATGGGGTCAGGAGAAGTCAATGAGAGGAAAAAATGCATTAAAGTTCCCAACAGCCTTGCCACTGATTTCAGTGGTGAAAGCAGCCAAAAACTTACTGTACATATAGGAGTTAAGATTGACTGGGACCTTTCTAAAATTACATACAGAAAACACCAGCTTCTGCAAATAATTATCAGGTCATATACCCATAAAAGTCAAGAAAATATATTTTATTACCTGCTCATCTTACTTATTCACAGAGTAGCGCCAATATTAGTCAGCACAAGTAGCTGCTTGTGAGCAGGAGGGCTTCCATCATTAAGGAAGGGATGTAATTAAAAGGAGGGAAATCCAAAACACAGTTATACCTACCAATCATGTAGTCTAAATTGTACTATTTTATTCATCAAAAATAAAGCTTTGAAACAAAGATACCATATTTTATGCAAGTTCATGATTATCTTTCTTCTGAGGGAGCATGTAATTTACAAGAAAGAGGACTTAAAGCTTTAAGTGCCTCTGACTTAATTCAGCAGTGCTGTATTGATGGTCCCATTTAGATGATTCCATTTCAGGCCCCTCTAACGCATTAAAGGCATGACTTACTCACATCCATTTGGCTAATGATCCCCTACTGCTCCAAAGTAAATGACAGCTATTTACAGTAAATTATTCAATTA